GCAATACTTCCACTTTCTAGTGAACTAGAAATTTGCGTTATTTCAAAAAATTTGCATTTGTCATTTCTTCACAAAGAGAGCATTTATAGATAAAACGACCGGACTTTATGCAAAAAAACCGGTAATCATGCTCCTGGATGTGCACCACCTTCATCCCAACTGATGCCCTTCCTCCAGCATGCCGGTAAGGATCAAAACACGGCCAATATTAGTCCAAATGTTAGGCTACGGCGTAGGGGTCACTGCTGCTAATAGCAATCTGCGAGTTTAGTGCAAAAACGCATGATCGCGCCGGAGAGCCCGGTGCGTTCTAGCCTGGGTTTGCTTACGCATTCTGCACTATGTATCCAACTTTGACATTACAACTTGAATCCAAGATACGCAGTCACGGAGATATTGTACTGTTTTGGTATTTCCTTCTGCACCATACTCCTCAAACATTGCGAGTTGACCAAGTACTGCACTCACAAATTCAGGAGTGCCGTCCTTTAGCGTTAAAAAGCACAATAATATGCGACGGTTTTAGATGAATTTGGAGTTGACAGGTTTCACAGTTAGAGTTCATTGTGAATCCTACTGACTCCAGAAGCTTCAAAATTACTCATAAAAAAAACCTTTGGTAACTTAGTTTACTTAGTTTGGTTCTATGCTGATACTATGATGCTTCAAGGTCATGTGCTGGAGAACCCGGTGGTAACAGCAGCACAGTCTGACAACGAACAAAATGACGAGCATCGGGAACATGCTTCGGATACAGAGGATTCAGAAAATGATTCCGCACAAGCTGATGAAGATGATAAGTCGATCGAAGATCGAGCGGTCAATGACCTCGAATTGGCCGTCCTGAAATGGAAGATCTACAGAAAATGTGGAAAAGAAATAAATAGCAAATCTAGCTGTGAACTCATGTAAACTGAGTGAAATTACAAAGATGACGCATTTGTGTCTCTTATTTGTAATAAGTCTTTCACTGTTACTCATAGTACCTGTTTTTAGTATTTTTTTTACTATTACGGTAACAATGTTTGCAATCTCTAAAGTTGAGACACTTGAAGGAGGTGTTCCTTGTGAAATTTTATTTTTTCCTGCGATGCCACTCATCACGTCTAATACAAGATTACTTTTACCCCGGTTTAGTCCGTTTCGTCCAAGTCTCTATGATTCCCCTCCCCCCCCGCCCCTCCCCACCCCTTTCCTCCCGACCCCCTCTCCTACCTCTTCCCGTCCCTTCTGTCATTCT